AGAGAACCCAGTATGACTAAGGGGCCAGTGTGGCCGAAGATCAGTTAAACTATTAGCCTAATCCATTTAAGTTATAAATTAAAGTGATAAACGCCCCATATGATTATAACATGCACTGAAAAGGCATTTGGTGAAATATAGCCACAAGTCCTTTGAATGACTAGTTCTTTTTTACTCACTAAGAAACTTTGTCTCTGTTCATCCCATCATTTATCTAAACTCCACTCTCCCCAAACTCGTAACTACCTTTTCCTTTACTGAGAGATGATGCCCCATCATTCCTCTGTTGTTTCTTCTCACTAATTGCAATGGGTCGACAAGCCTGACTGTTAGACCACAGGTTTGTCCCTGGTGGCTTGAAGCTGATTGAACTAAGATAGGGGAAGGAAAATTTTTCCTTCTAGCCTTCAAGGTCTTCCAGCTGGTTTTAGAATTGGGGGTACCTGCGTGGCTCAGTTGGTTAAGTGTGCGACTTTGGCTCCGGTCATGATGTCACTATTCGTGGGTTCGAGCCCCGTGTCGGACTCTGCACTGACAGTGCGGAGCCTGCTTGGGATTCTCTCCCTCCCTCTCCCTTTGCCCCCCCCCACAAATAAATAAATAAACTTAAAAAAAATTAAATTGACACGAGACTATTTAACAGGAGAAAAAAAATCCCAAAGTTTTAATTGAAATGAAATGGCCAAGACAGATTTTACACTTTTTATTTTTAGTTTTATTTTTGTTTTTTAAAATTATTTTATTTTATTTTATTATATGAAATTTATTGTCAAATTAGTTTCCATACAAAGATTTTACACTTTTTAGGCAAAGAGACAATAAATCTTGGTTGGGGGGCACTGATAGGCCAAAAAAAAAACTTTGGGAGTGTGAAAAATCCCTAAAAGGAAAGGTCACTTAGAATGAAGTGGGGAGGCCAGCAGGAGGAACTCTCCACCCTCTACTACTCATGGTCAATTGCAGACCAGACAGAAAGAGGAAGACAGACTCCCTTGTATCCCAGCCGGCCCCCCTAACAGCCCAGCCAATGATAGTGAGAACTGAGCCAATGAAAAGCCACTATACTTTCAACTCCCAGTTTACTCAGATGGGCCTTTTGTTTATTTTTATTACAGCCTTCAAAACCTAAACTTCCCCTTTTCCTCTATAAAAGAGCATTCTTTTTCTTTGTTCGTCGGACTTGCTTCTGGTTTTCCCTTGGCTTGCTTGTCCTGGATTGCAATTCTCTGCTCTTCTCAAATAAACCCATGTTTGCTGGTAAAATGACTGGCAGTTTTATTTTTAAGGTGAATAGGAGAGTTTCCAGTAGTAAGGAACTCTAAACAGAATTTTGGCTGGGATAGTAAATTAGTAAAAAGTAACAGGGGTCGTTTACACAGCCATCTTGGCTTTAAATTTACCATCTTTGATGGTAAGGATGTCTCTTTACCTCTTGATACAGGGAGGGCACCTTTCATATGGGAGACATATTTCTTGCTTTCTAGAGACAAAGGGGAGCAGGGTCAGAGTGTTCTTTTTGCATTGGCTGCTTCTTAAGTAACTTTTATTCAAAATAGGGTCACCTGGGTGCCTCAGTCGGTTGACTATCTGACTTTGGCTCAGGTCATGATCTCACAGTTCATGGGCTCAAGCCCCACATGGGGCTCTTTGCTGACGGCTCAGAACCTGGATCCTGCTTTGGATTCTGTGTCTCCCTCTCTCTCCGACCCTGCCTTTCTTGAGTTCTCTCTCTCTCTCTCTCTCTCTCTCAAAAATAAACAAACATTAAAATAATTTTTTTAAAATAATATGTTGGGGTGCCTTGGGTGGCTCAGTCAGTTAGGCGCTTGACTTTTGATCTCAGCTCAGGTCATGATCTCACAGTTTGTGGGATTGAGCCCCATGTTGGGCTCTGTGCTGACAGTGGAGCCTTCTTGGGATTCTGTTTCTCCTCTCTGCCCCTCCCCTGCTTGTGTGAGTGCGTGCACGCTCTCGCTCTCTCAAAAAATAAATAAACATAAAGAAAAGAATAAAATAAAATAACATGTTGGAGGCGCCTGGGTGGCTCAGTCGGTTAAGCATCTGACTCTTAGATTTCTGCTCAGGTCATGATTTCATGGTTCATGAGATGGAGCCCCGGGTCAAATTCCTGCTTGCAATTCTCTCTCTTCCTCACTCTTTGCCCCTCCCCGACTTCTAAATAAATAAATAATAAAATAGTATGTAAAAAAAAAACCAAAACCTGTCAATGTGGTGCATTTTGGGGTGGCCTGACTTTGGTCCTTAAAATGGCCAGTGGGTTGGTTGGTTTTCTTGGAAAAAAAATTGTTCACTCAGAAAACACCAGTGCAAGACTCTTCCTTGAAGGAGAGACTCTGAAGTCCGTCCGATGTTGGCCGATTGTTTTGTAAGTTTCCTGCGGCCAAGATGTACCTCAAACTGCTTATTTGAAAGAAGCTCTTCCCCTGGTGTGCTCCCGACCATTGCTAAATTCACAACCAGCTCAATTTTCCAGTTGAGAATAAGGAAGAAGTCAAATACATTATGTTGGCCTCTAGATACAGGCTTCTCTTAGAAAATGGCATTCTTCACCCAACTGTTCAGTGTTTGCTACACCCTGATGAGAACATTCAGTGGTCCGATGAGTTGGTCTTTGGAAGGACAGCTTCACTTGTGACATAGAGCACTTTTGAAAAACAGCCTGGCCTGATTTTTGACCACTCTTTCCATGGCCACATACCAGTTGTGCCCTGTGCCTGTCAGTGTTAAAAACATCAAGTTCACGGCTTGCAGTCCATTTCGTTTTCTTTTCCTGTTCTGCCTTATTTCTCATCTTGGGTCCGGAAGTCTGGGAAACGTCAGGAAACTTCACTACTTTTCTTTTTCTTCAATAAGTCTAAAACACTCTGCCACTTTTCATCCACAAGTGACTTTTTCTCTTAAACTCCCATATGCTGTTATAAACTACCGAAGCAACCAGCTGTGGAGAAAAATCGAGTCTAAAGTCATTGACTTAAGTCCTATCCTTTCAGGTGTTAGTGGCTTGTCTTGTCCTGCAAGGACTTTTAACCAAAAAAAATTTTTTTTTTTTTAAATTTTTTTTTTTCAACGTTTATTTATTTTTGGGACAGAGAGAGACAGAGCATGAACGGGGGAGGGGCAGAGGGAGAGGGAGACACAGAATCGGAAACAGGCTCCAGGCTCTGAGCCATCAGCCCAGAGCCTGACGCGGGGCTCGAACTCACGGACCGCGAGATCGTGACCTGGCTGAAGTCGGACGCTTAACCGACTGCGCCACCCAGGCGCCCCCAAAAAAATTTTTTTTAATGTTTATTTATTTTGGGGAGGGAGGGGCAGAGAGAGCGGAAGACACAGAATCTGAAGCAGGCTGCAGGCTCTGAGCTGCCTGCCAGCACAGAGCCCGATATGGGGCTTGAACTCAAGAACTGTGAGATCATGACCTGAGCCGGAGTCGGACCCTCAACCGACTGAGCCACCCAGGTCCCCTTGTCCTGCAAGGACTTTTGACTTTGCTTTTAATTTACTGTGTTACCTTGTGCATGTTTTTTTCCTTCTCAGTTTAAAAGTCCATGAAAGGTAAGTTGTTTCATTCTTTGTGCATGGCTAAGCTTTGTTGGACCCTGGTATTTTGCAGGATTTCCTATTTGGTTTCCTGAGGCCCCTGGGGCTCTGAGTCCAGCTTTGTTTTTGCAAAGGTCTGCCCAGCTGCATGGCGACTCTTTAACACATGAGGGCTTTCTGTGTGGCTGCAGTTTCCATTTGAGACTCTCTGGGCCTCACATAAGGCCACTCTTTCAGGCACCTAGAGGTAACCTTAAACTATCAGCAGTTTTGTCTCAGGACAAGGGCCGAGTTCAGCTGTAGCCATGTTGTGATAGTCCTTGGGGCTTAGAACCAGTGGGGGACCCCTAGGAAAGAAGAGGCCTGTGGGGTAGGGTAACAGTGAGGGTGTGGAAAACCTGGTTGCTTATGGGGATGAGGGTGGCTGGTAGGCCAGAGTGGTTCTAGAGGGGCCAGATGGTGTTGGAAGCAGAGGGATGCTTAGACTAGCAGGCTTCATGCTGTGTGAAACTTGGATGTACGAAATCTTAAAGGCAAGTGGCTGGTTAAGATGGAAGGTAATCCACTTGTTTCATACGGGTAGCTAGTCCCAAAAGCCAGGACATCTGGAGCAACAGAGCCTGTTGATGTGAGGAGACCAAATGACAGGTGGGCACTTCTAGGGTATTCGGGGAGGAGTCATGTCCCCCAGGTACTATCTATCCGATGAACATTCAGTGGAGACGCCAGAGGGATAGAAGCTGTAATTGGTGTGGAACTGTGTTGGGGGTAAGTAATTAGTCCCTAAAGTGGAATTGGCACAACATTCACGCTTGGGGGAAACAATGGCATGGGTATTCTTCAAACCCCATTAATGTGCCTTAGATGCCTGGGAGTGATGGGGGAGGAGACCTAGGTACAGACTTTTGAAGAGCCTTGAGCTTATCCTCAAAATGTGGTTTTTGGACAAGGGGTACCTGGGTGGCCCAGTCGGTTAAGCGTCTGGCTTTGGCTCAAATCACCATCTCATGGTTCCTGAGTTCGAGCCCTGTGTCAGGCTCTCTGATATCAGTGGGGAGCCTGCTTTGGATCCTCTGCCTCCCTCCCTCTCTCTGCGCCCCCCCCCCCAAATTAAGTAAAGTAAAAATATGGCTTGGACTTGAAATACAGTGGTTTAGTCCACAAGTTGTAAAGTTTTGCTAAGCAAGGTTTGGTGGTGGCTGGAGTCCATGCGGTACCTGTGTTAAGTGTGAAATATGCCATGTCTTTGAAGATGTCCAGTAGAGTAGTGTCCCAATAGCCACGAGAAAATTCATACAAGATCCAGAGATGTTCGGCGTATGAACGAGGGTCAGAGCTTTATGTTCCCATCCTTTGTTCTAAGCCGGATCGAGGTGTCACAGAGTTTCGCAAAGTTTCCTTGTTATGCCAAGTATCATAACCAGGAGTCTCTATTCCAGGTGTGTCAGAAGGAAAAGATGAATACGAGCCTCTTGGAGCTATTGCCGCTACCTGAAGCAAGATCCTATGGAGACTACTGCCCAGGTAAATTGTGTTAATTCCAGCTATAGCCTTGCATTTTTTTCCTGGCTTTGGGTGGGCACCCATTCATTATCCAAGCCAGATTGTTCTCTCCAGCTGTAGTAGTAGCCAAAAGCCCTTCCTGAAGTCTGGCAAGGCCATAGGTATCCCAGAAGTGTAGTTCAGTAAAGACCTGTAACCTTCAGATGGGAAGGATCCAGAACAAATGAAGGATGGGCAACACTCTGATCTTGATGTGGCAGAGGTTTCACCCTCCTTTAGCCGTGCCCTGGAACCATCCCTGGTGTTCGTGTCAACAAACTCAGTCTGTCTGGATTCCAAAGGGGAGTCTCCTCTGGTTATGGGCTAGGAAACTAGGAAACTTGTGGAAACTAGGCCAGTCGTGCAGGTATATAAAACATAGAGGCAACTCCCTTGTTTCTGTGTTTGAAATATTTGTAGAGACAGATCATTTAAAACGTGAATATGAGGAGGAGGGTGCTGTAAGACACATAGATAGGTCTTGGTGGCACAGCTCAGAAAATAATGGCAGGATCTTGGGGTAATGCCAGTAGGTTAATATCTTGAAGAACCCTATTTCCAAAGGCTCAGTAAAGTCACTAAAGTAAATCAAAACTCTGTTTTACAGGGGTGGTCTTGTGAGATATCGCCCCATCCTTAGCAGGGGCCATCCATCAGTCCAGCATTTTCTGCCGGCCTGTTGGGCCAAGTCTTGGTAGTCCATCCTGTTGGACTGGAGACAGTTACTGGGCCCCATTGCTCAGAGGGATGAAATGAGCATGGGGGTGGGAGAGACCATGTAGGATCCTACTCATCAGTGTCTAGTGCTGGGCCAGGGTGCTTCCTAGCCACAGGAACAAAAGCTTTCTGAGCCTGGGGCACCGCACTGTAACAGCTCACCTGGGGGGTGTGCTCCCCTGGGTGCTAGTGTGAATGCAGCTGGCTGTGGGGGGCCATCTCCTATTCAGTGGGGATAATCAGGAAATGTGTGGAAAGGGAATTTAGCTGACCTGCAACCATTCTCAAATCTACTCTTTTATTTTATTATTTAAAAAAAATTTTTTTTTAACATTTATTTATTTTTGAGAGACAGAGAAAGACAGAGCATGAACAGGGGAGGGGCAGAGAGAGAGGGAGACACAGAATCCTAAGCAGGCTCCAAGCTGTCAGCACAGAGCCCGATGTGGGGCTTGAACTCATAAACCGCGAGTTCATGACCTGAGCTGAAGTCGGACGCTTAACCGACTGAGCCACCCAGGCGCCCCTTATTTTAGTATTTTATTTATTTATTTATTTATTTATTTATTTATTTATAAGTCTTTACTTATTTATTTTGAGAGTAAGAACATGAATGGGGGCTTGACTCAGGGCTTGACTCCGGGCTTGAGAGCTTGACTCAGGGCTCAATGTCACAAACCATGAGATCATGGCCTGAGCTGAAGTCAAGAGTTGGCTGCTTAACCAGCTGAGTCAGCCAGACACCCCTCAAATCTGCTTATTTAGAGGTTGGTCAGCCCATTGGGCTTGGTCACTGTTCCCTTTGCCTCTGTGCACCTCTTCCTGAGCTTAATAATTAGGCCAGTGTCATTGCTCATGCATGTATGTGCATGGAGCACACGTCTTGTGATGAAAACTCCCGTGGCTTCTCTATGGAGTACCAGATTTCATGACAGAGCTGTAGGTCTGTCCCATGTCCTCCCTTCTTAGTAAGCTGGGACTTGTAGAATGTTGCTGTTCAGTTTCCCATGAATTTCAAATTCTGCATTTCCGTATTCAGTTATGACAGTATAGAACAGCAGGTCAAGTGGTGGGCTCGATGAGAATGAGTCTGGGGTGGTAGCAATCAATGCAGGCCCTGCAACATCAGAGAAGTTATTATTACTGGAGGTTATAGGGCTGGTATTCTTTTTTAATGAAAAAAAATTATTTATTTATTTTGAGAAAGACAGAAAAAGTGTGAGCGGGGGAGGGGCAGAGAGAGAGGGAGAATCCCAAGCAGGCTGTGCACTGTCAGCCCAGAGTCGACGACACGAGGCTCAAACTCGAGAACCGCTGACATCGTGACCCGAACTGAAATCAAGAGTCGGACGCTTAACTGACTGAGCCACCCAGGCGCCCCAGGGCTGGTATTTCTGACCTGATGGCTTCTCTGCAGTCTAGTCTTTTCAGGGACGACAGAGTTTTCAAACTGTACTGTCTTCATGGGAGTGGTAGAATTGAAGAGGTTGGTTTGGTCTGATCCAATTGATCGATGAACGGGACCTGTAACAGGAGAGGAAAGTGTGGTTTCAAAAGCTGCAGCCTTCCTTCAACTCAGACTTGCTCCCCGACCAGGGGAAGCCTGTAGGCTTGGAGCCATCCTGGAGGTGGGGGGTAAGCAGTTTGGGCCTCAAGCTCAGATCCTGAGCCTAGGAAATGACCTGGTCAGTATAATGAACTTGGACATGTACCAGACCTTGGGCTTCATGGGCCATTGGTTGGCTACCTTTTGAATTCTGCACTTGATTGACAGAACTCTAATGTCTATCTCTAGAACAAATCTGTTCCTTTTCAAACAGGAGTCATCTAGTTTTATTCCTTATTTGGCTAGATCTCCCACGGGTCTGTTAGAATCCTGTTTAAAAAAAATTTTTTTTAAATGTTTTTATTTATTTTGGAGAGGAAGAGAGAGAGACAGACAGACAGAGCAGGAGTAGGGGGAGGGCAGAGAGAGAGAGGGAGACATAGGATCCAAAGCAGACTCCAGGCTCTGAGCTGTTAGCACAGAGCTCAACGTGGTGCTTGAACCCATGAATCGTGAGATCATGACCTGAGCTGAAGTCAGATGCTCAACCGACTGAGCCACCCAGGCGCCCCAGGTCTGTTAGACTTCTTGTTGGAATCAACTGCTATCTGAAAGACCTCCTGATGCATTCATCGTACCACCTATTTGGTCATTTGCTTGGTAGGGCCAGGGAGGGTAGCCTCCGCTTTACAGATTCCCAGTGCTTTTTTTTTTTTTAAGTTTATTTATTTATTTTGAGAGAGAGAGAGAGAGAGAGAGAGAGAGAGAGGGTGGAAGCTCAGAGAGAGGCAGAGTGAGAATCCTATGCAGGCTCCACGCGGTCAGCACGGAGCCCAGAGCCTCATGTGGGGCTTGAACCCGCAACCCTGGGATCATGACCTGAGCCTAAATCCAGAGTCGGATGCTTAACTGACTAAGCCACCCAGGTGTCCCTGATTATCTGTTTTTTCTGATGTATGCATTTTCATCCTTTTTTGACTGGTTCTCCTTGTTTCTGAGACCACGGGATGGGGGCCTCGTCAGTGGAAGTGTGGAGGTTTCTCTTCAGTGTAGTGAAGTGTCTATGTGCATCCTGGAGAGTCCAGATTCTGGGGCTTCCCTAAGGAATTGGCCTGTAACCCCCAGCTGCCTCAGGCACAGAGTAAATGACCCCAGGATAGTCCTGCTTTGCTGCATAAGGTTTTGTTTTTGTTTTTGTTTTTACTGGGGCAGGAACATACAGTTAGATGCCTTCAGATCACCGGGACTTTGGCTTCTATTTCTAACTATCTGACTTGTTTGGCAAAACTTTTCTTCCTTACACCCTTAAGACGGCAGTGAGGATGTACAAACTAGCATCACCTCTGCTACTCACAGTGGTGATGATACTAAACAAAACCTGAGAGATTTTTCTGAAAAATCAGATGTAGCTCTGTAGAGTCCTAAATTGCCATTTGGGGCCGGTATCAGAATCTGCCTTTCACATTGGCTTGGAATGATCACAAACAAGCTGTGGTGCTGGGTGGCTTAGTCAGTTGAAGGCCGACTCTTTAATTTGTCACAGGTCATGATCTCGTGGTTCTTGAGATCTCAGGGCTTGTTGAGCCCCTGTGTGGGGCTCTGTGCTGACAGAGTTGAGCTGCTTGGGATTCTCTCTCTCCGTCTTTCTCTGTCCCTCCCCTGCTCATGCTGTTTCTCTCAAAATAAATAAATAAACATTAAACAAAATCCAAACAAGCTATTTATCTGAAACATGTATTTGCATCTTTAATGGTGAATGGCTTTTCATGTAGAAAAGCTTCATGTTTTCCTTTGCTCCTACTCAAATTGGCAATATTGGCCATTCCAGTGTGCAACATTAGATTGAGGTAGGAAGTCTGAAACTCATTGTCACCAGCTATATTTCAGTATAACACTTAAAAAAATGCTGCACTGATCCCTGCTGCCCTTTGGAAGTTCCTCTGTTCTGTTGCTGCATGGGGCTTGGTTTCTTTTTCCCATGGACCAGTTTGACAGCCTGAAATCTGTGGGCAGTTCAGAATAATGTAAATAAAGGTCCAGATGAAACACATGGGCCTTCAAAGAAAAGAATTTGAAAGGTACCAATTTTAAAACAAGTTTGTGATAGAAAAATATGTACCTCAGTGCATTAAATAATAAGACCGTACATTGAAGTCCAGGCAAGTTACAATTTAAAGACACCAGTGTGGGGGTGCCTGGGTGGCTCAGTCGGTTAAGTGTCTGACTTCGACTCAGGTCATGATCTCACAGTTTGTGGGTTCGAGCCCCACGTCGGGCTCTGTGCTGACAGCTTGGAGCCTGGAGCCTGCTTTGGATTCTGTGTCTCCCCTTCTCTCTGACCCTCCCCTGTTCACGCTCTGTCTCTCTCTGTCTCAAAAATAAACGTTAAAAAAAAATAAAAAAAAATAAAGACACCAATGTGAAGCTGCTTAGCTTGAATCCTGGCATTCAGTTGGACTGGTCTTTGGATAAGATAATATGCATGTCCTACTGCACAGCCAGTCAGTTCTAATTTTCTTGTTTTAATGCATTCCAGGGTTGAAAAATCTCGATTTCACAAATTGTTTCATTTAGCAAAGATTTTTTTTAATGTTTAATTTTGAGAGAGAGAGAGAGAGACCTAGAGTATGAGCAGGGGAGGGGCAGAGAGAGGGAGACACAGAATCCAAAGCAGGCTCCAGCCTCCGAGCTGTCAGTACAGAGCCCGATGGTGGGGCTC